GACGCGAGGCCGAACGGCAGGGGGCGCTGGGGAGGGCAAGTCGGCTGCCATCGGCGGTGTGCCCGAAGTATTAACATACAGTCACGATCATTAACCCATAGAAAATAAATGCTAGTGAGGCCCGAGCCCGAAATGTAGCACCTGCATTAATATCTATAATAACAATGTGTGGCAACACTGCCTTAGCGCAGGAGACATACACAAAGCAATATGTAGAATGACAGAAACCACAGACACGGTATTATAGGCACTATATACACTGCCCTGCACAGGAAGCACAAACAGTACATTTTACTTACCACCTCATCGGCCATACACAGTTGTTATAAACACTTCCCCGCCCTCTGTGGCATGCTTTTGATTCTGCATTACCAACCGTAGGCATTGAAAACGTCTTTAGTCGTGCCCCTACATATCAGGAATTTAGCTGAAAAATAATGCAATAGATGTTATTAAATAATACCTGTTGGGTGCTTTATATTTGTCTTCTGATGTTTGAGACACATTTTCAGCGCTTTCAGGCAATCATTATGGCTAGAAACTTCCATTTTTTTAAGTGAAGGCTGCAATTTCTTCACCATTTGACTGACTCTGGAAGTTAGAAGTAAAAGGAGGAAAAAACTCGAATATAAAAAGATTTATTATAAAATCGGGAGAATTGGAAAGAATGATATCACATGGTTATATTTTAAAACATCGGTCAGCAGGCTTGTAAGCTGATGTTTCAACGTGGTATCTGTTCAGCGTTGTGATAGATTTGTAGGTGAAACATCACACTCCGATTGCTGCGATACAGCTGTGAGTTACAAGTTACCTAGTGATAGAGATGTAGCCGTGTTAGTCTGGAGTAGCTGAAGCAAAATGCAGGACAATGAAGCACTTTAAAGACTAACAAGATGGTTTATTAGATGATGAGCTTTCGTGGGCCAGACCCACTTCCTCAGATCCTGGGTCTGGCCCACGAAAGCTCATCATCTAATAAACCATCTTGTTTGTCTTTAAAGTGCTACATTGTCCTGCATTTTGCTTAAGTTACCTAGTGGTTGTCTGAGATACATGGGAACCCGGTTGTCATTCACATGCGCCACGCTATGATTGCTTACTAGTGAAATGCTCTGGCTAGAATCTTCCACACCTGAATTAAAACAAATGTAAAACCCCTCACAATTTCACATTTTATACCAAATCTTCACACACACGCATCCCCCACCAGCTCTGTAGCTGGAAATGGGAAAACTTACTTTAGCTACGACACACACATAGGTGCCAGCACCTGTGACTAGTTGTCTGTCAGACGCACAAGTTGGCAATGATCGCTGGGACTGGGGGAGAAGCTAAGTTTGCTCTCACTGCATCTAAACCAACAGCCTGCCTGACCCCTTCGCCCCGCATCCCTTCACTTCAGGCAACTCAAGCCTTTCCCACGGGAGGAGGAGCCTCCAGGCCAGGGGACTGTTTGCGCCAATAGCGTACGCCGGGAGGGGGGGCGTTGCCTGGCGTAGGTCGGGGGGAGGAGGTGCGGTTACGCTGCTAGCGTACTTGGGCTGGCTGGGTGGACGATGGCAGCTGAGCCTGGCACCACGGCGGTGAGGGCGCAGCACAGGTTTGACCAGGCGGCCCTGGAGCAATACCTGTCCCGCCATTTGCCCGGCTTTCCTCTGCAGCCCCCTGAAGCGCTGACAGCCAGGCAGTACAGGTAACCCTGCGGGGGCCCCCAAGCGCGCCCGGGCTGTGGCTGCCTCTTCCCATTGCCCTCCCAGGACAAAACGCTCCCGTCACACCTGCATCGGCCAGCCAGGACGCCAAGCGGCGGGTGCTGCCTTGTTTCACCCACGACAGTGTCCGAGAAAGCCCAGGGAGCATTGCTTGCCCAGCGAGGAAAATCAGCCCCAAAACTTGTGCTGGAATCGGAGCTGCGCACTGCCTGTCCCTAGATTGTGGCTTCTTGTGGCACAAATCTCTGTGGCCAAGTCCACACTGGTACTTTACAGCGCTGTAACTTTCTGGCTCAGGGATGTGAACACCCCCTTCTCCCTCTCAGTGCATCAAGTTACAGCGCTGTAAAGTGCCATTGAAGCTCATCTGAGGAGGTGGGTTTTGCCCAGGAAAGCTCATGATACCACAGATATATATATTTGTTAGTCTCTAGGGTACGTCTAGACTACCGCGTTTTGTCGACTGAAGTTTTGTCGACAGATACTGTCGACAAAACTTCCGTCGACAAAGAGCGTCCAGACACATTGAGTTCTGTCGACAAAGCAAGCTGCTTTGTCGACAGAACTCCGTAGTCTGGACGCAATGTTACAGGCAATAACACCTTCCTTCTGTCGACAGAGTTCTGTCGACAGAAGGTGTTATGCCTCGTAAAATGAGGTATACCAGAGTCGACAAAACTGCTGAGTTCTGTCGACGTTATGTCGACAGAACTCAGCAGTAGTGTAGACGCTGGTATAGTTTTGTCGACAAAAGTCCACTTTTGTCGACAAAACTAGGTAGTCTAGACACACCCTTAGGTGCTGCAGGACTACTCGTCTGTAACATGCCAATGTGAATCATAAGCTACTCCTCATGCAAAAGTGTTTTACATGGAATGCCCTCTCCCAGTGCTCCTGCCATGGCTACATTTCCAGTATAAAGCACGTCTGTGGCTGTGTTTTAAATGGTTAAGTATGGACAAAGCCTGAATCTCAGTGGTTTTAAGTGTAAGAATGTGAGGTCCACTGCTACAACGTAAAACTCACTGTCATTTAAGTTTGTGCTTCTCATTCCTACCCACAGCCAATAGTCACTCAGTTTTTTTTCAGTCCACGTGCACAATAAATTTTATGTGCACCTGGCATGAAAGTAACTTAACATTTCTTACAGATATTATCCTCTCACAACTGCTCCCCCCTTGAAGGGAGGCCTTAGGGTGTGTGGGGATGCTGGCAATACAATAGTACCTGCAAGAAATTTAAGTGTAGGTTGAAGAGTGGGGGAGAGGGGAGCTCAGGGCAGAGGATTCGGGTGTATGGGTGCAGAAGTTAGAGCAGAGGGCAGGGAAATGGGCTGCAGGAGTCAGGGTTGGGATGTATGAGGGACTCAGGGCAAAGGGGTATGAAGAGGGGCTTAGAACAGGAGGCTGCAGGTGGCTCAGAGCAGGGGAGATGTGAGGTGCAGGGGGTGGGTGGGTGGAGTCAGGGCAGGGGGCTGGGAGGTGTAAAGCAGGGGAGTGTGTGGGGGGGGGGGCAAAGGTGCCAGTTCAGGGGGTGAGGAGGCTGTAGCTGCCTTTACCTGGTCATTGTGTGGTTTTTTTCTCCTGTTTGCTGTGGCTAGGGAGTAAGGGTAAAGTGCTCCAGAGCCTCTTCTGGGTGACCCACCCAAGTGCACAGCTTACAGGGAATGTTTCCCGCAACCTCTGAGAGTAAGTCAACTTTTCTGGATATTTGCCTAATTTCACAACAGGCTATATAAAAAGAACTAGCAAACCCAGTGCAAGCTAAAATTTCATAGACAAATGAGAAAGCAAGCAATTGTTCAGTAATAGTGTGCTATGATGTTTCTTTATTTGTATATCAGATTTTATAAGTGAGGTGAAACTTGAGGTACACAAGACAAATTGGATTCAGCAGTTTGGGAAGGTTGAGAACCACTGGTTTAGGTAGCTCTAAGAAAGACTTTGGGAGTTGTGAATGTTGTTTGTAATAGGCTCATCCTTCAAAATATGGATCAATCCTAGAAATACTGGAAATGGTAATTGCCTGTGAGGTAGGCAAAGCTCCTAGGTTTTGGTATCTTACTTGTTTTTAATGCACCCATTACCCTAATGTCTGTGGCAACATCTGTAATCTGCCTGTCAAAGTGCATCAGTTAAATACATTTACATATATTGAACAAAGCCAGAAGTATATGCCGTACTGCACTGAGTTCATTGCGCAATTAAAGAGGGACACCAAGGAAAATCATGACTGCATGTTATCATCACTGAGAAACAAAATATCCTGAGTGTGAAAGTTCACCAGTTACAAAACATGTTACTGTGTTCAAAGTTTATTTACTGAACAGCAGCAGCCTACCCTACTGGGCACAAGTTCAATGTGGATATAAACAGGATTTGATTGAAGAAAAAACTCTTTGAAGAACTCTTTTATGATTGACTTTATAGCTGTATGTTAGAAATAAGCAACAGTGCCTAGGCCTTTTAACAATTCTTTAGTGATTAGAGCCTTTAGTATTTTCTCGTATTCTATTGACTGAAGAAAGGCACCAGAGAAATTAGCCCATGTGTGATCTGAAACAGTGGTTCTCAGCAGAGGTACGTGTGCATGTTCTCAATTTGGAAGTAACCCTGCTTGTGGTAACTGAGGCTGGTGAAGCCCCAAGACTCAGGAACTGGATCCAGTCAAGCTGGGAGCCACATTCAGCCCCCAGGCCTTCGGGTCCTCTGTTGTGCGAAGACAGACACACTGAGTAAGACCTGCATGCTCAAAGGCTGTTTGTGAGTGATCCATGTTGGACACTACCTCAGCAAAGCATTGTGAGACACCCAAGGTTATAGGTCATGGGTGACACAACTCCTCACTAGTACTGCATTGCATCCCAGAATTTAATAGTTACACTGGATGTAATAAAGAGGGTAGGAACAGACTAGGCAGAAGGTTACAGGAAGGAAAAAGAAGAAGGGTAACCTAGAGATGTAAGCGACAAGTCGACTATCCGATAAATATAAGGTTATTGGATAGTCGACTAGTGATGCCACTAGTCGCTTCCTCCCATTTGCTTCCTCCATGGGTATCTCTGCATTGGATTCCTCCTTCAAGAGAGGAATGCAAATGCAAACAAGTGAAATTGCAAATGAAGCGCGGATGTGAATTTCCTGTGCTTCATTTGCATAATCGCGGACGACTGCTTTTGCGAAATAGCATATTTCGAGAAAACAAATGCAGTCCACTCTGGGTTATTTCGAGAAAAAAAACCTTCCTTCGAAATAACCATTACTCCTTAAAAAATGAGGTTTAAGGGTTATTTCGAAGGAAGGTTATTTCGAAGGAAGGGTTTTTTCGTGAAATAACCCCACGTGGACCGAGTTTGTTTTCTCAAAATACGCTATTTCAGAAAAGTGGACATCCGCGATTATGCAAATGAAGCATGGGAAATTCAAATCCATGCTTAATTTGCCATTTCACTTGCCTGCATTTGCATTCTTCTCTCAAACGAGGAATGCAATGTACACATACCCTATCAAAGGAGGCAGCAAGTGGTGGTGGGGGGGAAGCAGGAGCTGGCTTAAAAGCCAGTTTCCTGCCAGCACGAGCTCAGTTGGGAGCAGGGGCAGTACAGGCACAGGGCGAAATGGCGTGAGCAGGAACTGAAGCAGTCTCTGCTCACCCCACTTCTGCTTTTGAAATGTACAAGATTCTGCTTTTGAAATGTACAAGAGTCCTGCTACAAAAGCATCTTGTACCTTTCAGATGCTGAGGCGCTTGCTGCAGGGAGCACTGGGCCAGCGGGAGTCCCTGAAGGCCTCCTAATCCCTGCGGGGCTTCTGCTTTTGAAATGTACAAGAGCCCCAGTAGGACTCTTGTACATTTCAAAGGCTGAGGCACTGCAGGAAGTGTGGGGCCAGTACCCCGCTGGCCCTATGCTCCCTGTGGAGCTTTCACTTTTGAATTGTAGCAAGAGTCTGGCAGGACTCTTGTTAGAGTTCAGAGGCGGAGATGCCCTTCTAGACTAATTGAATAGTCGATGGAAATCCAATCGACTATTCAATTAGTTAATTAATCTAAACTTAACATCTCTAGGGTAACCAGGGTGATTGCATGGTTGTTTGGCACGCATAGTATGGAGGAACAAATATATCTATTTTAAACAAAATAGATGGGGTTTCAATCATCTAATATCTTGTAGGTGCTGGTGCAGAGTGAATCTTAAGGGGGGACTTGAATGAGAAGGAAATAATGGCTTTATGGATCAACCCAGGGCATTGAAGATGAGGATTAAAAATTGGAACTTGATGCAGAAAGAGGAGTCTCTGACAAGATTTAAAGGGGTAGTTTTACACAGAGAAAGCTCCTAAAGATGTCCGTCCCTTTTATCAATGAAAGAGAGAGATGGACTGTGGTTGCTCCTCACCTCTAGGCTTGATAATAAATGAAAGTGATTTTATTAAGTATAAGAAGTTGGATTTAAGTGATTACAAGTGAGAACAGATCAAAGGAAGTTACTAAATTAAAATAAACAAAAGAAGCCAGCTAGTTCTAATCCACTAAGAAACTAAGGGAGGATGGTGAAGGCGAGGGGGGGATATAGGAAAGGAGGTGGAGGGAGGGCAGTGTGGGGGTGGGGAGGGGTTAGGGAAGGATGGGAGTGTAAGACTGGAGAAAGGAGGTGGGGGTAGG